CTGACACCACTGCTGTCCTGTCAAGCAAAGCCCCCAAGATGGAAAGGCAGGCAGGGCATCTGTGGCTCACCTGGACCCTGCGTAGGTGTGTTGCGGGGGGGGTTGGACTAGATGACCCTTGGGTCCCTTCCAACACTATGATTCTATGAAGAGCCCCTGGCAGGCAGCCCTCCTTCTGGCTGTCTTCGCCTTCATCGACGTCGTCCGCATCCGTGCCGCCCCTTTCGTCAACATAGTCTCCATCGCTCTTTTACCGTCGGGGCCGCCCAGGCGTTCTGTTTATTGCGCATTTATGACGCTCCTGGACTCCTCGGTTCCAGGCCAAACGCGGCTGAGCTTCGGAAGCGCGGCGTTGACCATCGCGGCTTCGCGCTCCTCCGTCTGGTTCTGGGCAGAGCCCTCTTAGCCCTTGCCCCCCGACGTCCGCGCATTGGCGACAACGCAGCGGTCCCCCGACCTTGCCAAGGACGCGGGGAAGGAGCCAGCCGGCTGAGTCGGCTCGCGGTGGATGGAAGCCCGGCCCCCGAGGAAGGCAGGGCCGGGAAGGATCAGCTCTGGGCTGCCCGCAAGCGGGCAAACGAAGAGACCCCCACCACGAAGCGAAGCCCCGCCATAGGCAGGTTGGACGTGCGTCCGGCCCAGCCTTGGAGACCCCCGGGATGGAGGAACTGCTGGCGCGCAGCGCTCCTCGCAGGTGAGCAGGATCGGGACCAAACTGATGGATACGGTTATGATTTCGTGCTGCGAAGCTCCCAGCACTTTTTAAAACGAAGAGCGGGGGGCAGAGGGGTCAGGGGGGCTGCAGAAGCATAGAGACTTATTTCACTTTATGCGCGCTCGCGTTGTTCCTCTGACCAAAATCGCCCCTTCCAGCAGCTTGCAGACATGGTTTGGTGGAGGTGGGTAGGAGAAGTAAGTACTTGACTCTTCGCCACCCCATGGCTATTGGCAGAAGTGCCACCTCAGTGCCCATGGGTGCCCGGGGCCGCAGATGCTATGAAGAGTACATGGCCCTGGCACCGAAATTTGTGGGTGCCCTGCCCCTTCATGGGAAATTTTGAGGGTGCTCGGGCACCCAAGACCCCAGGGAGTTGGCACCCATGGCTATTGGCAACTTTTGGATCAGGGTTTCCCTTGAGCACGCTGCTATCTCCCTTTGGACTTCATTTCTGCTGTCACTCAGTTTTGTATCAGAAGAATGTTATGCAGGGTTACCATAGCATAGAGAACTGAATACTCCCGACAGTTGAAATTCTCCACTCAGAGAGGCTGAATTCTGCGCAGGCTGAGAGCCTTTGCCTGGGGCTCCTTATTTTGCCTAATTGTTTCGGGTGTGGGGGTTTGCAGCGTGCAGCAAAGGCACCATCTTCCTTCCTTCAGCTGAGATGGCATCACTGTTTCATCAGCTGTGGCTGACACTCACACAGCCCTGTGTTTTCGCAGTGGGTGGTGAGGTGGGGTACCAATTCCTTGGCTACCCAACTTCAGAATGTGGGAGGAGTGGGCAAAGGGGTGAAGACCCTGCATACGAAAACTTAGGACATTTTTTTGTTTCTTCCACTCTTACTTGTACATTCAAGAATGTGTGTATTGCAGTTGTGTGGTGTGTTGTATTTTTTAAATTAATTTTTTTTGCATTTTCAGTTTTATCATAATCACAATTTCCATACATACTTCCAAAAACTCAAACCTCGCTCTATTCGAGCATCGACTTCCTCCCGCCCCTTTTTCTGACTTCCATACATATTTACTTTATTCTTAGCGTTTCCATAACAACTTTTTTACCTTCTCTCTTGTTTTTTAATTCACCTCTTTAAATGTAAATCAGTTCCTCATATTCTCTTTACAAAACATTTCAACTCAAAGCTACAAACGTTTTCAAATGTTTACATTGTTCTTTCAAATATACTATAAATTTGCTCCAGTCCTTTTGAAACGGTTCGTCACGCTGATTCCTGATCTTCCCCATCAGCTTTGCTAACTCTGTGTATTCCACCATCTTACTCCTCCATTCTTTCACTGTTGGGCTCTCCTGTGATTTCCATTTCTGAGCCAAAAGTATCCTTACGGCCATTGTGGCATACTTAAACAGGTTTACATCTTTTGGGGGGGGATTTCATCTCCAATTAAACCTAACAAGAACATCTCTTTATTTTTTATTAAAGTTATATTTCAAAATCTTTTTTTATTCATTATAAATTATATCCCAATAGGCTTTCACCATGGTACACGTCCACCACATATGATAGAAATTCCCCTCCTTCTCCTTGCATTTCCAACATTTTTTATCCTGATTTCTATACATTTTAGCGAGTTTGGCTGGTGTTATATACCAACGGTACATCACCTTTGTTACATTTTCTTTGAGTGACATACACGCTGTGAATTTAATTGTTTTTGTCCACATTTTTCCCCATTTTTCAAAACCAATGTTATGTCCCAAATCTTGGGCCCACTTAATCATAACACTTTTTGCCCCCTCATCCTTTCTGTGCCACTCTAGTAATAATTTATACGTTTTCGACAATGTTTTTCTTTGACTCCTCAACAATTCCGTCTCTATGTGTATTGCAGTTGTTGAGGTCTCTTTGATGCAGTGAAAGAGACTTTGGGGCCATCCGTGGATCTCTGAAAGAGAACAGAACTGTGCTGAAACTAGGGCTTTTGTTTGAAGTGACGTCTCCTCTTCGCTCTCTCCCCTTTACAGCCTCCATCCTGAGTTCCTCCTTCCTCTTGACTCAAACCAAGGGCGAGAAGGAGACAGTCATCAAGATGGACACAGAACACCCAGAAGAAGGAGGCAGTGTCACCTTCACACCTGTAGACCTTGATGTGGAGAACCTTAACACCTTCATCTGGTACCGAGGGGAAATTGAGGAGAGTAGTCGAATCTTTACTTATATACTAGTACCAACTAGAATACAGAATAATGGACCTTCCTTCACTGAGCGGGAGACTGGGGGCCTAGACAGCTCCCTTAGCATCAGGGATTTATGGCTAAATGACTCTGGACTCTATACATTGGCCGCTAAAGTATCTTCGGGAACGGTGATAGGATTTATAGTCATAAATGTCTTAGGTATGGTGTCTACTTTTAGGATCCGCCTTACTTCTATTACTGTAAGTTATTTTAAACTGTTTCTAATATTGTGTGTTTTAATGTTCTAGCCTGCCCTGGGAACTAAGGGCCCAGAGTGGGTAAATAGTGGTAACGGAAATGGTAATCACAGAATTGACTTTATAATCTGAAACACACACAGAAACAGAGACATCGCACGTTCTTTTGTAATTCACGGAAATCTGTAATAAAAATTGTTTTTTTAAACAAATCATAGAATTGCAGAGTTGGAAGGGACCCCAAGGGACATCTAACGCAACTCGTTGCAATGCAGGAATATGCATGGAGAAGAGTGATGAGGGAGCCCAACAAATCCATCTGCAGCCCTGCTGACCTTGAGGCTCATATTCCATAAACTGGGAACGTTAATTAATGCCGTTGCGATCTTGCTTGTTAACACTCGGGTAGAGTTGCTTAGTCGGTTACTGGTCCTGTTAATACGATTTTATAATTTCTGCTATATTGTTGTTTTACTCATTTTATTTTTATCGCTTTGCTCCCTGCTCTGGGGTTGGAAAAATCCAATGAGAAACGGGATAGAAATACTGTAGATTAATCAGAACGGCATGGAATTCTCTCGTGTGCAGGGACGCCTGAATGTGCAATGCACACGGGTGCATTTGTCCATGCAGGTCACCCTCCAGCTGCATTCATGGAGGGATGTGAGGAGAAAGTTTGAGATGCTTCACTGCAGCAAGGCCACAGACAAGCTTGGGGCAAAGTTTTCACCTTTTTCCCTTTTCCCTACTGCCTTTAACAGTAGTCAGAGCAGGCTGAAAGATTCTGGTAATACTCTTTTTACCACATACAGTCATACCTCATGTTACATTTGCTTCATGTTACATTTTTTCAGCTTGCGTCCCACGGCGACCCGGAAGTACTGGAAAGGGTTACTTCCGGGTTTCATCCCTCGTGCATGCGCAGTAGGGCTAAATCGCGCTTCGCACATGCGCACAAGTGCCAAATCGCGCCGCGCAGATACGGCGCTTCAGGTTGCAGGCTTTTCACGTTTTGAACGGGCCTCCAGAACAGATCCCATTCTCAATCAGAAGTACCACTGTATCTCCATGCCGGGGGGGGGGAACCTTTAGCTATTCATCAAGGCTGTTCTGAATCAAATAACTGGCAACATTAGGTTGATGTCCAGAAGAGCAGGTTTCACTGAAAATTGCCCTATACTCAATGTTACACATGTGGAGGACATGCAAGAAAATGAAGGAATTTTGGAATGTAATCTATAATGAGCTTAAAAAAATGATTAAGGTATCCTATCCTTTATTTTAAAAACCGGAGGTGTTTCTCTTAGGGATACTTGGCCCAGATATACCTTAAAATGCGAGAGAATTATTCTTGTATGAAATTGTAGCTGCAAGAATATTAATTGCATCAAACTAGAAAGGAGAGAAAATTCCAAGAAAACTGGAATGGCAAAGTAAGTTGTTGGAGTACGCCAAATTGGCAAAAATGACAGTAAAACTGAGAGGTTCTACAGGGCAAACTTTTATTAAGAGATGGGATATGTACAAAAAAAATACCTTATAAATTACTGTAATAACATAATGCCAGTGGGAGGACTCGAATGAATTCTGTGGTATGTTGACTAACAAGAGAATACAATATTGATAATTGACAAAAGCAAATAAAAGAAAAGAAAATGAATGTTAATAGTGTGCTAGAGAGATTAAGCGGTAAATACACGATGGGGTGGCAAGACATTGTTGAATACTTAAGTGGAATGTAGAGCGATATGATGTAACAAATAGCACGATTATCTTTATTATTATTATTATTATTATTATTATTATTATTATTATTATTTAACTTGTGTGTTTGTTACATCTTTTTAATCTCAATAAAGCAATTTAAAAAAGAGAAAAAAAGAAAATTGCCCCATACTCATGTGATCAACTGGGGAAGGAAAATCATGGACACATACTTTCCAAAGCTCACAACACTTTTCTCTCCCGTCTTGCAGATGTAGAGGAGGCTGACTCCCATCCCCAAGCGTCAATTTTTGGAATCATCCTAGGTTGTATGATTGGAATCGTGGCCATGGGAGGTCTGGGGTTGTTCCTGTACCCCAGGTTTCACTCAGCGTAAGTCTGCCGTCCTGGTCCCCTTGAATCAGGGTCCCCCTGAATTTGCCATCTCCCCCTGGTTCTCCAGGAAGTTCCTGCTCTGCTTAACTGTTTTGAGTGGTCTCTCTGCTCAAGCTCAGGGTTTGAGGCTGTCTCACTGTGGTGAGCCAATGTGGTGTAGTGGTTAAGAGCGGTAGTCTCGTAATCTGGTGAACCGGGTTCGCGTCTCCGCTCCTCCACATGCAGCTGCTGGGTGACCTTGGGCCAGTCACACTTCTCTGAGGTCTCTCAGCCCCACTCACCTCACAGAGTGTTTGTTGTGGGGGAGGAAGGGAAAGGAGAATGTTAGCCACTTTGAGACTCCTTAGGGTAGTGATAAAGCGGGATATCAAATCCAATCTCTTCTTTTCCTTCTTCACTGGTGTCCTGCCCGGTTCCCCAGATTACGAGTCTACCGCTCTTAACCACTACACCACACTGGCTCTCACTTGCAGCAGCTGAGGTTGCCTTTCCTCGATAATCCACCAAAGGCACCGTAGGCCTATCCTCTGTTAAACCTGATGATTCTGATACACAAACATTTGCAATGAGTAGATGACCACATCAAGCCCCCCCCCCAAAATTGGTTAGAAACTGTACACATTGGGTTGACTTTTCAATTCTAAAAGGTAAAGGTAAAGGACCCCTGGCAGTTAAGTCCAGTCATGAATGACTCTGGGGTTGCGGCGCTCATCTCACTTTACTGGCCGAGGGAGCCGATGTTTGTCCACAGACAGTTTTTCCGGGTCATGTGGCCAGCATGACTAAGCCACTTCTGGCGAAACCAGAGCAGTGCACAGAAACGCCGCTTACCTTCCTGCCAGAGCGGTACCTATTTATCTACTTGCACTTTTTGGCGTGCTTTCGAACTGCTAGGTTGGCAGGAGCAGGGACCGTGCAACGGGAGCTCACCCCATCATGGGGATTTGAACCGCCGACCTTCCGATCGGCAAGCCCTAGGCTCATGAGGGGTAGCTAAATTGTGACCTTCCAGATGCTGTCAGACTCAATAAATGTCTGGAGGACACCTGATTGAGGAAACTTTCCTTAAAGGGTTTTTTTGGGGGTTTTTTTGCCATTTGGGGAGTTCCCAATATCTAGAGGATATCCTAGCAAGGCATTTTCTTTGCACCCCTAACCCATCTCAGGCCACTCGCCTTGCCTGCTTCCACTAATCTAGTAGGAGTTGTTCCTTCCGTGGTCTCAGCCTTTTGAGCAGAGGGTTCAAAAGGAGCAGAGGGTTGTGGGTTTTGAGTGCCTCCTGCTTGGCTCTGGTGGGCTTATTCTCCTGGATCTCTCTCTGTTCCCTAATGCTCTTTCTGTCCTGTTTCTGTCATTTCAGAGCCAGGCGTCGCTTACACGAAACCCACCGTGGTAAGAATGATACACATATGATTCCTAATGTATTCAGACTCCAATCTCTAGAAAGCAGTAGGGAGGGGAGGGGAGGGGGTTTGAGCCAAAGCAGAGCAAAGTGAAGGTCTTCCTTCCTCAGAAGGAAGTAGGACATGGATGAGGAACTTTTTCAACCCAGCGAGCCAGATCCTTATTTCCATGAGTCCTGTGGGCCAACTTTGACATGTAGGCTGGATCACCCCTCTACCAGTCACCTGACATCCGCCCCTCTCAGTGTGTCCTGGTTGGTTCTGCTGGGCTTGGGTTCTGTCTGTTGTACGTTCCAGGTCCGTGACTTTCTCTCTTTGTAATTTCAGACCAGTGCTTCAGTGTATCGGTAGGAACAGAATAGAAACCCACACTGGTAAGGATAGAACAATGGCAGTACCTAATATATGCAGACTTCAGCATTCTGATTCAAAGTCTAGAAGCGGGAGAGGGGTTGAGTTGCAGCAGAGAATGTCTTTCTTCCTGCAAAGGAAGTAAGAGCAGGAGTGGAGAACCTCTTCAGCCCAGCAGTCCAGATCTTTATCTCCATGAACCCCCCTGGGCCAAGTTTGCCAAGTAGGCTAGGTCACCAACCTGTCAATCACATGATAACAATGACTATGAATTTCATTTGCAAGCAGGTTCCTTTGAAGTCACTTATAAACAAACTTCAAAGTGTGGGCCACCTTTGGAAAGCAATTTTCCAATCTATAACAGTTGATGCAACCCCAGGATAAATACACCCATGTTATTTGGAATAAAACTTGTAGTGTTTACTGAGGACAGACAAATGCTCAATATAGAGAATAATCCCCAAGAAATACAAAATGTTACAAGAGCTCTGAAAACCAACAATTCACCAGGCTTTGATGGTTTACCTGCCTAATTTTATAAAAACATTTTCAGATAGCAGTACTGTTGAATTAAGCTGTTTAACTATTGTAAGCTAACTAATGTAATATAAGAATCTTGGAAAGATGAAAAAATAACCTTAATTCATAGGAAAGACAAATATCCGACATTACCCTAATCTTATAGACCAATATCATCATTAAACCAAGATTTCAGAATTCTTGCTCCAATGTACACAAAAAGGTTAAAGTTATTTTAATGTATAGACATCCAGACCCATGGATGTCACTATAGGTTGTTTACTATCAGTTAATGCAAGAAAATTCTTGTATTTAATAAATGAAATAGAAATAGCTTTGGTTTTCTTAGATGCTGAAAAAGCTTTTGATAGGATAGAAAGTAATTATTCATACTCCTTGTTGGATAAATTAAATACGGGTGTTCCTTTCTTGGAATATATCAAAGCTGTTTCTGAAGACCCATGCACAGTTTTATATATAAACGAACAAAAATAAATAAATTCCTGAAATCATTTTTGAGGAAGCAGAGGCCCCCCCCTTTCACCTTTGCATTTTTTGTGTGCTGAACCATTGATACAATCTGCAAAAGAAGTACCGGAAAAAATGTTAAATCAAATACCAATGCTGGTATTCATAATATTGATGTTGTGTGAAGTATATATGTATTCGATAATACCATGTACCTATGAATTTGTTGAGTTTATGTGTTTGTTGTGTTTTTTAAGTGAAATTTAAACATATATTTAAAAGAAAGAATCTAGAGCTTGGCTGTTATCCTGACACCTTTACACTCGCTGGCTGGATTACTGTAAGGTGGGATCAAGTTTGATGTTTCCTGGATAACAGGTTGATTATTGATTGCATGCTTTCCCTTATAACCCTGCAAGTAGAAAGTTGTGAGCTCTGTTGTGTCATTGTGTTTGCTTTTGAAAAATTCAACAAAAGCTAGAAATCCAGGGAACGGCCTTGCAATAAACACTCAAAAGTGCTGCCCCATTACAGCCCCCAATACCACAATGCCTTTGAACTTCCCCTTGGTCCCACTGACTCCTTCTTATGATATCTTGCAGGGTGAAGACATACAATATTCAACACTAGCCTTCAAGGCCAACCACCCTCCTCAGCCACAGCCAGCGGCCGTCTGGCCTTTGGAAAGCAACATAATATGCTCAGAAATCAAGAAGAAATGATCAGGGATAATTCTCCCCTGCTGGTCTCCTCAGTGCAAACATCTCCTATGACTTACCTCCTTTGCCTGGATTGTTCTGGGGAAGTGTGTTGAAAAAAATTGGTTTCCTTGTCTGAAGAGAAGAATGTAGAATTCTCCCACATAGGCACACAGTCACCTGGTGTAATAAAAAGTTTTAGCAGTGGGACCAAGTGGTTCAAGTGGTTTTTGCCCCCCTCGCCTCTTCTTCCAGCTCCGCCCCCCAGTGCCGCTTCTCTGGCCCACCACAAGGTCTGAGGGACAGTGGACCAGCCCGCAGCTAAAAAAAAATGCCAGCTCCTGACCTAGGCTCATTGTGTATGAAGAGAGCATTGCTCAAAGACAAAGTCTTGATCGGAGATAATGAGATCTCAAGGAGACAGTCACCTGCTCATAGCAGTAGATGATATGGGGTGGCCAAAAGCTTATTTGAGGGTGCAGGCCATATAAGTCTGTTATCCTAACCATGCCTACTCAGAAGTAAGTCCTACTGAATTCAGTGGGGCATATTCCCATGTTAAGTGGAGTTAGGATTGTGGTCCCAGTCATCTCCTTGATGGGGAGAGCCAGTGTGGTGCAGTGGTTAAGAGCGGTAGACTCGTAATCTGGTGAACCGGGTTCGCGTCTCCACTCCTCCGCTTGCAGCTGCTGGGTGACCTTGGGCCAGTCACACCTCTCTGAAGTCTCTCAGCCCCACTCACCTCACAGAGTGTTTGCTGTGTGGGAGAAAGGGAAAGGGGAATATTAGCCACTTTGAGACTCCTTCGGGAGGTGATAAAGCAGAATATCAAATAGAAACTCTTCTTCTTCTCCTTGAGCTCTTGTTACAAGCTTTCGTGCAAAGAAGGAACTGAGAACAAATCCCTCCCTCCAGCTTCTGATCTCCAAGTGGGGCCAAGGGAAGGAAGTTTGCCTCTTCTTCGTCCCTTCTGCGTAGTGCCGCCTCCTTCCTTCCTTCCCCTTTCTGCTGCAGCCAGAAGCCGGGCCTCGGCGCTGGTCTCTACCCCACAGCCTGTCCCCTGGCCGGCTGGCTTCGGCACAGAGAGAGATGTGAGGTGTGGGCTTCTGGTCCCAAGTCCCCCACCCTACTCTGTGCCCGTTGGGGGCTCTTGCCCGGCACAGAAGCAGGAAACACAGAAGCACCAGAAAGAGGACGAATCCAGGAGTCAGCTGAGGGGAGTATCCTCTGGATCAAAGTCTGAAATGAGGCAGGAAAAGCCGCCGTGGTGTGCTAGGGCTTCGCTGGGGAAGAAGGGCTCATGGCAGGCCACACTCTTCAAAGGTGAGACAGATAGGGACCCTAAATAGAAGGAAGGAGACACAAAGAGGGAGGGAAAATAGGTGCCGGGTTTCGATTTGTCCTTTGCCGGAGGGTAGCTATTCTTTGGTGGCTGACTGTACAGCTCCAGCCACCGATTTCCCAACATTTTAATGCAATACGCTCTACGTGGGGCTACCTTTGAAGGTGACCCGGAAACTACAACTAATCCATAATGCAGCAGCTAGACTGTTCACTGGGAGTGGCCGCCGAGACCACATAACACCAGTCTTGAAAGACCTACATTGGCTCCCAGTACGTTTCTGAGCACAATTCAAAGTGTTGGTGCTGACCTTTAAAGCCCTAAACAGCCTCGGTCCAGTATACCTGAAGGAGCATCTCCACCCCATCGTTCTGCCCGGACACTGAGGTCCAGCGCCGAGGGCCTTCTGGCGGTTCCCTCACTGCGAGAAGCTAAGCTACAGGGAACCAGGCAGAGGGCCTTCTCGGTAGTGGCACCCGCCCTGTGGAACGTCTCCCACCAGATGTCAAAGAGATAAACAACTACCTGACATTTAGAAGACATCTGAAGGCAGCCCTGTTCAGGGAAGTTTTTAATGTGTGACATTTTGATGTATTTTTAATCCTTGTTGGAAGCCGCCCAGAGTGGCTGGGGAAACCCAGCCAGATTGGTGGGGTACAAATAATAATTATTATTATTATTATTATTATTATTATTATTATTATTATTAATTATCTGCTATCTGATAGCACGGAAAGAGATTTTGATCTCTCTAAGGGCGATAGGTGACGCGGGTGGCGCTGTGGGTAAAAGCCTCAGCGCCTAGGGCTTGCCGATCGAAAGGTCGGCGGTTCGAATCCCCGCGGTGGGGTGCGCTCCCAGCACCTGCCAACCTAGCAGTTCAAAAGCACCCCCGGGTGCAAGTAGATAAATAGGGACCGCTTTCTAGCGGGAAGGTAAACAGCGTTTCCGTGTGCGGCTCTGGCTCGCCAGAGCAGCGATGTCACGCTGGCCACGTGACCCGGAAGGGTCTCCGGACAGCGCTGGCCCCCGGCCTCTTGAGTGAGATGGGCGCACAACCCCAGAGTCTGGCAAGACTGGCCCGTACGGGCAGGGGTACCTTTACCTTTTACCTTTTTAAGGGCGATAGGCTACGTTCACAACATACATTTAAGGCACTGTGATACCACTTTAAACCATCATGGCTTCCCCCAAAGGATTCTGGGAGGTGTGGTTTGTTAAGTGTGCCAAGAGTGGTCAGGTGACTACTATTTCCGCTCTCGAAACTACAGTTCCCAGAGATGCCTGTGAAGAGGGATTGACTGCTTAAGCTACTCTGGGAAGTTCTTGGGGGCTGCAGTCCAGCAGTGAGCAGGACACACACACACTCATACACACAATCACTTTAATAATAATAAAAAATTATATACCATTCTTCATCTGAAGAGCACAGGGTTGTTTACATATAACTTTGAAAAACCATAACATAACCTTTAGAGGAGGCCCTTTTCTCATTCCTGTCCCCCTCACAGCCAATCTTGGTTGGGATGTAGGACAGGGCCTTCTCAGTGACTGCTCCCAAACTTTGGAGCTCCTTTCCTAGAGACGTTAGACCGGTTTCTTCCTTGTCCTTCCCTTCTTATTCCAACATGCTTTTAGGAACTGACTATTCTTAAGGAAAGGGCTGGTGCTGTGATGTTTTTACTGTTATTATCTCTATTTTTAATAAATCATAAATGTGTGTTTGTGTGTGTATTTAATTATCTTTTAATGATTCCCCCCCCCTATGTTTGTAGCTTTTGAGTTGTCATCTGTGTTATGTACTGAAGTTCTCACCCTGGGCCAGCACGGGGATACTTTAGATAGTTATGCAAATAAGGGATCGAAAGTGACGTTCGGTGATTGGATAGTTTTAGAAAATTGTTACAGTTACGTTGTACTGGAGCTCTATATAAGCAGGCTGACTGAACCCTTCAGTTCAGTTCTGTTCTGGCCTGTGAATAAACAAGAGCTGTTTGAAGAACCGCTGTGTCGTCTGATATGTTCACCCACAACTTAACAGTCTGGGGAAAAGCTGGGTTATAAATAAATATTACAATAAATATAACAACAACAACCACATGCACATAGGGAATTGTTTTATTATGTACTTGAATTGTGAATGTTTACATTTCAATATTTGTGCAATTTGTTTTTATAATCTATAATCCACTTAGAAGCCTATTTTAGCATATAGTGACATATTAGCATATTAGTGACATATAAACTAAGAAATTATAATGGAAAGAGATGGAAAGAAAATAAAGTCCCTGCCAGAGAAGAATGGCAGATCAAGTTGATGGATTGTGCCGAAATGGCTAAAATGACCGGAAGAATCAGAAATCAGGAAGACCCAAATTTTAATAAGGAATCGGGAAAATTTATTACTTAATAATAATAATAATAATAAATTTTATTTATATCCCGCCCTCCCCAGCCGAAGCCGGGCTCAGGGCGGCTAACAACAATCAAATAATCAAACAATCAAATAATCACACATTCTAAAAATATTTCATTATAAAAATTAATTAAAATCAAATTGATGGCAACCGATTAAGCAAAATTCTGTGCAGGTTGCCAGAGGAGGGAGTCAGGCTGCGCCCTGACCAAAGGCCTGGTGGAACAACTCTGTCTTGCAGGCCCTGCGGAAAGATGTCAGGTCCCGCAGGGCCCTAGTCTCTTGTGACAGAGCATTCCACCAGATTGGAGCCGCAGCCGAGAAGGCCCTGGCTCTAGTTGAGGCCAGCCTAACCTCTCTGAGGCCTGGGACCTTGAGGATGTTATTATTTGCAGACCGTAGGTTTCTCTGTGGGGCATACCAGGAGAGGCGGTCCCATAGGTACGAGGGTCCTAGGCCGTATAGGGCTTTAAAGGTTAAAACCAGCACCTTAAACCTGATCCTGTACTCCACCGGCAGCTGGTATAGTACCGGATGAATGTGATCTCGCAGCGAAGACCCCATAAGGAGTCTCGCCGCGGCATTCTGCACCCGCTGGAGTTTCTGGGTCAGTCTGAAGGGCGGCCCCACATAGAGCGAGTTACAATAATCCAGTCTGGAGGTGACCGTCGCATGGATCACAGTGGCTAGGTCAGGGCGAGAGAGATAAGGGGCCAACTGCTTAGCTTGGCGGAGATGAAAAAATGCTGCCTTTCTTATAGCTGTAATCTGCGCCTCCATAGAGAGGGAGGTATCGAAGATTACACCCAAACTCTTAACGGACGGTGCTGGCACTAATTGCACCCCCGCAAGAGATGGGAGTTGCCCCCTCGATCCCATATCGTCCCGCCCCAGCCAGAGGGCTTGTCTTAAAGATCATTGTAAACAGTTAAAATCATTAGTAGGATTGGAATATCACTTGTAGTTTACTGGTGAATCTTGGACACAATGGAGGGATAGAAGATTTGGATTATGATTTGATATGTTAATTGGATGTCTTTTATTGGAAAATTAATAAACGATCTAACAAAAAAAGAAAGATTTGGATTATCATACAAGATACAGGAGGAAATGATTAGCAATAGGACCCACAAAGGGGAGGAGAAAACTCCAGGAGATCCTTTGGAATCTCGTTTTTATGCTGCATGTCAGATGTGTGACTGTAAAATTTTAATCTGAAAAACCAAATAAATAAATTGTACAAAAGGAAAAGAAATTATAATATGAGGACGTGTTTTTGCTCTTCTTTCCCCCGCTTCATGCTGCAGCCTCCATCCTGAGTTGCTGCTTCCTCTGGACTCAAGCCCAGGCCAAGACTGGAATACCTATCAAAGTTGAACCAGAAATACTGCAAGAAGGACAGAGTGTCACATTAACACCAGGAGATATTGATGTGACCACACTTCGTAGCTGCAAATGGTACCGAGGGTCAAGTGCTGACGGAAATCGAATCTTCACCTATTTCCTAGCTCCGGTGATTTCACAGAAAAACGGATCTGCCTTCACTGACAGGGAGACTGGGAGAAGAGACTGTTCCCTTCGTATCACAGATTTAACACCAAGCGACTCTGGAACCTATACACTGGAACCAGAAGGACCTCTGGAACACAGAATAGGGGCTATCAATATAACTGTCCCAGGTATGATGAGCTTGTTCTCCAGTCATTCTGACCTTTTATGCACCCAAATTCGCCTCCTCTGCTGAGCTTCGATGGCCAAATGACTCTGGAACCTATACATTTAATGTTTTAATGTTGTATTTTAATCTTGTTTTTAAGTTGTATTCATTCAACTTGTTTTTATTACAGTGGTACCTCAGGTTACATACGCTTCAGGTTACATACGCTTCAGGTTACAGACTTCGCTAACCCAGAAATAGTGCTTCAGGTTAAGAACTTCGCTTCAGGATGAGAACAGAAATCGTGCTCCGGTGGCGCGGCGGCAGCAGGAGGCCCCATTAGCTAAAGTGGTGCTTCAGGTTAAGAACAGTTTCAGGTTAAGTACGGACCTCCAGAACGAACTAAGTACTTAACCCGAGGTACCACTGGATTGGTTGTTAGCCACCCTGAGCCCAGCCTTGGCTGGGGAGGGCGGGGTATAAATAAAATTTAATAATAATAATAATAATAATAATAATAATAATAATATTCATTGAGAACAGAAGGGTCTCTGGGTTTTGAAACAGGGCGTGCAAACCTAGAGGTCTCAGGCATGATCCTTCCCCCATCTTTTAGGGGGTCCCGTTGGTGCCTTTAGAAGTTTCTTCCCTTTTATCCCTCCAAATGTGTCCTCTAAGCAGCTAGGTCTCTGAGCATTTCTGCTGAGGGTTGAATGAACTAGCCCCCAGCACAACTGTCTCCAAGGAGAAGTCCTGTCATAACTGCTGGGTTCATTAACTGCAAGCAAATCATGGAGAATTAGAAGAAGAAGAAGGTTTAGGTTCAGGTATTGAAGGCAGCTACTTTTAAGAAGAGTTCCTGCTGCAATTCCCTAATTCCTAGCACAACACGGTGGGTCTGGACGCTCCCCTGGGTGGTGGTAACCCCATAAAATGGGCCTTTTGATTGAGGGTAAGGTCTCTTCCCCCTTTATTAAACCCCTCTCACGTGGCAACCACAAGCCTCAGTTTTTGCTTGACTCAAGCCCAGGCCAAGACCCCAACTGAAATAGTCCAGTTGCTGCTTTCATTATACACCTTTAGGCACCAGGCAAAAACGTCCGTCTTCCTGCAGGCCTTTGACTGATTTGCATCTGATGCCCTTTTAAATGTGTTGGGGGAAAATTATTAGAATCATAGAATCATAGAGTTGGAAGAGACCACAAGGGCCATCGAGTCCAACCCCCTGCCAAGCAGGAAACACCATCAGAGCACTCCTGACATATGTATTAGTTTGTTGTTCTTATTTCTATCATGTATTTGTGGGGGTTTTATATTGTTATTTTATGTTGTGAACCGTCCTGAGATCTATGGATAAAGGGTGGTTAACAAATTTAATTAATTGATTAATAATAAAAATGGTAAGGGACGCTGTGGGTAAAAGCCTCAGCGCCTAGGGCTTGCCGATCGAAAGGTCGGCGGTTCGAATCCCCGCGGCGGGGTGCACTCCCGTTGTTCGGTCCCAGCGCCTGCCAACCTAGCAGTTCGAAAGCACCCCCGGGTGCAAGTAGATAAATAGGGACCGCTTACTAGCGGGAAGGTAAACGGCGTTTCCGTGTGTGGCTCTGGCTCGCCAGAGCAGCGATGTCACACTGGCCACGTGACCCGGAAGTGTCTCCGGACAGCACTGGCCCCCGGCCTCTTGAGTGAGATGGGCGCACAACCCTAGAGTCTGTCAAGACTGGCCCGTACGGGCAGGGGTACCTTTACCTTTTAATAAAAATGGTGGAACCAGCAAACCCAAAAGAAATAAAGAGTTTCTGCTCAAATAGGTTATTCATTACTAGTCCTCAGGGTGTTGCAGGAATTTATGCATAGGTTTGGGGGGGTTGCCCCTCCAGCCGATATCATGCACATGCAGCCCACTACCAAAATCAGCACAATCACTTTTGTGACTTTTGTGATTTGTCCCCGCAAAACACTTCCTCACAGTTTCTTCCTATCTGTTCAAAGGGCCTCTGCTGCACAATACCAAATGTAACAATTCACTGATAAATGTATCTATGTACTGGCTCACTGGGAAAACTTCAGAAATTCATATAGACATGTGAGCTCAGCTGCTCAGCAGCCCCTCTGTCTGAGTGATAATCCCTGGCATCCTGATACCTGAGTGCCAGACAGGTAGCCATTCCAGAAATAACAACCCCAGATGAAGACAAAAGGGTGTGATTAACTTGGCTGGGAAACAGGGAAATGTAAAGATCTCTTTTGCTTCACTTGATGGGTGTTTGGTGGAGGGCAAGGGGAACCATGGGGCAGGGTCCAGGATGTTCAGATTACTGCCACCAGACCTCTCTTTTCATGATGTAACCGTGATGTATGAGTGATGTAGTTTGGGGGGGAATGTAACATGGGGATTAGCAGCTAATAAAAGTTTGGGGCCTCTTTTGTTCAGGGCTTCCATCTTGTTCCACCTGGTGGCAGGTGGGAGTCCTGTCGCGACAGTCTTCAATAAAGACCAAGCCTACTGGCTGCTGTTTTGCTCTGGTATTCCTGGCTGGTGTCCTTGGTTTTTTGTCCAAGGGAGCCCTCAGATTTCTCCGTTAACAAGGGTCCGCAGATGGAAGGAAACTCAGCCACTGCTTATTACCACCCTTCACTTAAGGAACAGATCCATGGTAGCGCCTGCTCTGGGTGGGAAATTGCATGGCCTGGGTTGTCTGGCTTTCCTCCATTCACCTCAAAGGCCTTGATGTGTTTGAAAAGAGGCGGTCAGCCAGATGAATGTTGGTCCTTATTGCTGCCATTGCTGCGTTCCTCAAAACCTTCTTTCTGGTTCCAGATTCTGCTCTGCTGGAAGCAGGAGTCGTTTCTCGGATTGTCGTTGGGTCTCTGGTTGCACTGACGTTGTTTGGATCACTGCTTTGTGTCTTATTCTGTGAGTAAGATGTTGGAAGTGCGAAGCCTCAGATTCCTGGGTCCTGTCGCCAACTACTGGAGCCCAGGGGTATTGCTGGACAGGGCAGGGGCAGAGGGTCTGCAGAAACAAATGTGCATAAAATGTGTTTGTGCTAACTTAGACATAAATGCCACATCATCATCATCATCATCATCATTATTATTATTATTATTATTATTATTATTATTATTATTATCATCCCACCCATCTGACTGAGTTTCCCCAGCCACTCTGGGCGGCTCCCAACAGAGGACTAAAAACAGGATAAAACTTCAAACATTAAAAACTTCAGATCTCTTCTAAAAGTCAGATAGTTGTTTATTTCCTTGACATCTGAAGGGAGGGTGTTCCACAGGGCGGTCGCCACCACCAAGAAGGCTCTCTGCCTGGTTCCCTGTAACCTCACTTCTCATAGTGAGGGAACCGCCAGATGGCCCTCGGCGCTGGATCTCAGTGTCCAGGCTGAACGATGGGGGTGGAGACGTTCCTTCAGATATACTGGGCCGAGGCCGTTTGGGGCTTGAAAGGTCAGCACCAACACTTTGAATTGTGCTCGGAAACGTCCTGGGAGCCAATGTGGGTCTTTAAGGACCAGTATAATATGGCCTCGGTGGCCACTCCCAGTCACCAGTCTGGCTGCCACATTCTGGATTAGTTGGTAGTTTCCAAGTCACCTTCAAAGATAGCCCCACGTAGAGCACATTGCAGTAACCCAAGTACGAGATACCGTACTTTTCCATGTATAAGACTAGGTTATTTTATTTAATAATTATGTTCAAAATTGTAGGACGTCGTATACACGGATACAATCAACCCCCCATTTTCTCAATTTGGAGTCCCCAAAAATAGGGGGCGTCTTATACATGGGGGCATATTATACACAGAAAAATACGGTAACTAGAGCATGCAAGCCATCCATGTCACACACACCCCAAAAATTCTTCAGTTAAGTCCCTCTTCCATTCATTTATTCCCCTTTTAATTTTCTGACAGATCCTGCTCCAAATCAGTTCTGCTTCTATCATCTCAATTCTTTACCCCAATATCATCCTTTATTATAAAGAAAAAAACATAAAAGCACAGGTCTGTGTAGGGTGAATGTTCAGGTTTGATTCCTACTTTTCTCCCTCCTTCAGGGGCCTGTCGGCTGAGATTTAAGACTTCTGCCCGAGTTGTATCTGCACCTCCTTTACCTGACGATGTTCCGTTTTCTGGACAGGTGAGATCTCAGTATAGTGAGGGAAGTCGTTTGCACTGTCAAATCCTATTTCAAGTTATCTTCAGCATGCAATGTGCAGTCCATTTAAGAACGTGAAAGGATTGCAAGGGCCCTGCCCCAAGGAATATACAATCAGTAAGGCAGGAAAAGGATTAGGTAAAGGTAAAGGTACCCCTGCCCGTACGGGCCAGTCTTGCCAGACTCTAGGGTTGTGCGCCCATCTCACTTAAGAGGCCGGGGGCCAGCGCTGTCCAGAGACACTTCCGGGTCACGTGGCCAGCGTGACAAGCTGCATCTGGCGAGCCAGCGCAGCACATGGAACGCCGTTTACCTTCCCACTGGTAAGCGGTCCCTATTTATCTACTTGCACCCGGGGGTGCTTTCGAACTGCTAGGTTGGCAGGCGCTGGGACCAAACGACGGGAGCGCACCCCGCCGCGGGGATTCGAACCGCCGACCATGCGATCGGCAAGTCCTAGGCGCTGAGGTTTTACCCACAGCACCACCCGCGTCCCAGGAAAAGGATTAGCAGTTGACAACTCAGCAAAGAGGGTGGGGTTGGGACACGCAAAATCGGCTTTCTAAAAGGGAGGCTGCCCTCCTCTGGGGCATTAAAAAATGTTTTGCTAGCCTGCATCTCCCCAGAGTTCACCTAAGCCTGTTGATACCTACCTTCATTTCTCAACGGATCCATTTTGGTTCAATTTCTGTTGCCACACAGCACTCAACCAGAGCCAGGGTCTTTTCAACACTGGCTCCGGCCTGGTGGAACGCTCTGTCTCATGAGACCAGGGCCCTGCAGGATCTGAGTTTCTTTCTGCAGGGCCTGTAAGACAGAGTTGTTCTGCCTGGCCTTTGGCTTGGAATCGACTTGATTCCCTTCCCCTCTTTCCTTTTTCCTTTCTCCTTCTGTGATGGAACTCCTATTTGGGGACTTCCTTGGCTTTTTCTGGCCCATGTAGGACCAGTCTGGATAGTTGGCCTTGGTGAAGATTGGACGTTTTCATCCCCAAAAAGTTTTTGATTTGAGTTTCTACTAAAATGAGACTGCATTTTCATGTTGTATTTTAATCTTGTTTTTAAGTTGTATTTTAATCAATTGTTTTATACCTGGTGTTAGCCGCCCTGAGCCCGGTCTTGGCTGGGGATGGCGGAGTATAAATAAAAATTATTATTATTATTATTATTATTATTATTATTATTATTATTATTATTATTAAGTTTGCTATTAGAACTAGCCATATAAAGAATTCAGCACTATCACACTGTCTGGGCTCAACAGTTCATCAGTCCCTGCTAGTGGTGCTGTTGCTTAATAACCAATAACTGCTCTTTAGCATCATTACTATTACTGTTGTTTATATTAAATCCAGGTCAAGTCTGACAGCTCCTCTGATCCCAACCGCATGTACCAGGTAGGTGAAGGTCCTTCACATTTATCCTTGTCTCGGAAAAGACATGTGATCCCATGTGATCTCTCTTAAAGGAACAGAGCCACTGAAAGGAAAGGCCCTACCAGCCTTCTTAGGTCCTCAGATGACTTTGGTCTCTGGCTGAAACAACATCCACTTTAACTCAGCAACATGGTTGACTGGGAGCTGTCCATGGTCCTGATTTACCTGGCCTGACCAAGCCCCTGAGCCCCAGCAGAATCAGAGGCAGAAACTTTCAGACATGTACACAAACACCTCCTCCACATATGCTGACCTTGTAAAGGAACATCTTTACATCCAAGGTGATGGGGGATTTGTTCTGAATATGGATTCAGGTTTCCTCCTCCCTGCTTTCCATACTGATGCCTTCCTCTTCCTCTTCCTTTCTTGGTTAAAAGTTGTTTGTCTTAAGAACTTAGAAGAGTTCTTAGGACAACTTGCAAAACTGACGGGAAGAGTTAGAGGAGTACTGAACCAGAAAATATTTGGAGAATAGAGAATATTTAAGGATTATATAAGATCATATTGTACCAATCACACCATATTAGCAGAACTTGAGTGATACTTGTAAACACAACAAATACCGTTTGTGGAGTAGACAGGAACAATATTAAAGAATATAAAACTGTGCAAAAAAAAGACAGTATAAACAGTACAATGAGAATGATTGGAAGACTCATTTTGTCAGAGGTCTTTTTTATTTAAGTGTTTAATTAAGTATTAATTAGGAAGATTAAGTGTTTTTTATGTACGTAAATTTGCTTTTTCTTCTTTCTTTTTTCTCAATTGTTTTTTCTTTAATTTTATTTTTGTAGTATGAGATTGTAAATTCTTTGTATAAGTGTGTAATTTAAATTAATAAAGATTGTTTTTTTTAAAAAAAGAACTTAGAAGAGTCTTAAAATAATTAATTAAAGTACTAATAATTAAATTGTCAAAGACTCAGGACACTTTTATGGTAGATAAGTCTATTAATGGCTATTAATATGGCTGGCTGTGTGGTACCTCCACGGTTAGAATCATAGGCTCACGGAATGGTAAAGTTGGAAGGGACCCAAACAGTCATCTAGTCCAACCCCCTGCAATACTAAAGATGGCCATTCAACCTCAGTGGCCAACATCCCAGGATACCCAGGTTAAAAAAGAAGAAAATAAAGTTTTGCTCTCGGTGCTTCTGTCTCATGCAACTCCATTTCGCCCTCAGGCCCTCCAACAGAGAGACCAGCCAATGTGCAACCAGCCGAAGTGGTAATGCATGAACTCACCAATGTCCATTTTACTTCTGAATTGGAGCTTCAATGGAAGGGCACACCATGGAAGTCTAAAGTACAGCCCCCTGGTTCTCTGGTTAAAGGGATCTTGTGGAAGGGCAAAGGAAGAAATGCCTGAGACCTTGGAGATCCAGTTGGAATAAAAGTTCTGAGCTAGCTCTGAATCTGCCTGAAGTACCGTACCTTCCGATGCCCTACTCTAGGAAGCTCTCCCCGTAATGGCCATTAAATTCATCAAAATGTTACTTGTGTGGCCAGTGACTGAGTCTGCAAAAATAGCTCATGGCATCCTTTGCCAACCAGGTACCCGGCAGATGTTTTTGATTACAACCCCATCAGATCCAGCCAACCTCTGGGGAGCACCTGTTTCTGGATTAAAGAAACAGAAAACCATATTCCATTTTTTGCTATGGACGGAGCTGGTCCAAAAGAATTGGTTGCCCGAGGCAACAAGAGTAGTTGAGCATTTCTTTTTGGCAAAGTTGTTGAGCTTGCAAAAGTTCTTCCTTCTTGGCAGCAATAAGTAATTAGCAATTTGTTATACTTTCAAATCAGCTGCCCGAGGCTGCTATCTCACTCTGCCCAATGGAAGGGCCAGCCCTGGCTAATGGGCCAACTGCCTCCTTTCTTGGTGGTGTAAGAACATGCCCCAGGGTCAAGGTAAAGGACCCCTGGATGGTTTGTCCAGTCAAAGGCAACTATGGGGTTGTGGCACTCATCTCGCTTCAGGCCAAGGGAGCCGGTGTTTGTCCCCAGACAGCTTTGTGGGTCATGTGGCCAGCATGAATAAACCACTTCTGGCACAACGGAACACCATGATGGAAACCTGAGCAGTGCACGGAAACGCTGTTTACCTTCCCGCCGCAGTGGTACATATTTATCTACTCGCGTGTGCTTTTGAACATAGTATATCCCGTTGGTTAGGACTGAAAATCCAAGGAAGATGATCGCTTAAGTTCGCAATGCTTTGCCCAGGCCTTCTCCAACCCATAACCCCAGAATCTCTGTTTCATTTGCTTTTATATATTTTATACAGTGGTACCTCAGGTTAAGAACTTAATTCATTCCGGAGGTCCGTTCTTAACCTGAAACTGTTCTTAACCTGAAGCACCACTTTAGCTAATGGGGCCTCCTGCTGCTGCCGCGCCACCGGGGAACGATTTCTGTTCTCATCCTGAAGCAAAGTTCTTAACCTGAGGTAATATTTCTGGGTTGGCGGAGGCTGTAACCTGAAGCGTATGTAACCTGAAGCGTATGTAACCCGAGGTACCCCTGTACTGTTTTATTTGTTTTGGGTAGTATTTCAGAGAGAGAGAGTACATAGTACACCACTTACAGATTTTAAGCACTTTGGTAATGCTTTTAAATAAATCAATGAAGCTGCTGGTAGATGCAATTAAAAAGTAAAATAAATTTCCTGAATCACCACCAGGAGGCACATGATTGCATGTATTGAGAGAGTTCCTTGAAACTCAGAGGAATAAATTTCTGAGTAATGTCATCCTTCTAGGAGGGTTGAACTGAAGGTGTCCCCCCCCCCCCATCAGTCTTTGTCAAAGTGCTTTGGCAAATGTCCTGGCAACTTGGTTCCCGGGTGAAATGGATTAACCCAAGTCCTTTTTTCGTCTGGTTTCCAACCTAGTTTTATTTGTTAGTTTGCTTTTTACCTTTCTTTAAAGAAAAAAAAACGACTCTGGGGTTGCGGCGCTCATCTCGCTTTATTGGCCGAGGGAGCCGGCGTACAGCTTCCGGGTCATGTGGCCAGCATGACTGAGCCGCTTTTGGCGAACCAGAGCAGCGCACGGAAACGGCGTTTACCTTCCCGCCGGAGCGGTACCTATTTATCTACTTGCACTTTGATGTGCTTTCGAACTGCTAGGTTGGCAGGAGCAGGGACTGAGCAACGGGAGCTCACCCCGTCGCAGGGATTCGAACCACCGACCTTCTGATTGGCAAGTCCTAGGCTCTGTGGTTTAACACACAGCGCCATCTGTGTCCCTTTTACCTTTCTTTACCACCCATCAACTTAACTGGGCTCTCAGCAGAGCACCTGCCCACGTGGTGAGACAAATTATCTCTAGAGAACTTAAACGCTGCTGACATTAACACAGGTCACAGATAAGGCATGAAGCGAAGGAAGGAAGACGAACTTATTCCATCCATGTCATAAGCAAAGGTTGGATGGCCATCTGTCCTGGATGCTTTGGTTGAGATTCCTGCATTGCAGAGGGTTGGACTAGATGACCCTCAGGGTCCCTTCCAACTCTACAATTCTGAGATTCTATGACCCTAGAGTCTAGCAGTGACCAGAGTCAGACTCCTGTTCCACTGGCTAAGGCACTGGACCAAGTTCCTGCCACTGAGCTTGGCAGTCAGGGGCAAACTAAATGATATCCCAAAAGTTCCTGTTAAAGGTTGTTGTTGTTGTTTAGTCGTTTAGTCATGTCCGACTCTTCGTGATGCCATGGACCAGAGCACGCCAGGCATTCCTGCCTTCCACTGCCTCCCGCAGTTTAGTCAAACTCATGCTGGTAGCTTCGAAAACACTGTCCAACCATCTCGTCCTCTGCTGTCCCCTTCTCCTTGTGCCCTCCATCTTTCCCAACATCAGGGTCTTTTCCAGGGAGTCTTCTCTTCTCATGAGGTGGTCAAAGTATTGGAGCCTCAGCTTCAGGATCTGTCCTTCCAGTGAGCACTCAGGGCTGATTTCCTTCAGAATGGAGAGGTTGGATCTTCTTGCAGTCCATGGGACTCTCAAGAGTCTCCTCCAGTGCCATAATTCAAAAGCATCAATTCTTCGGCGATCAGCCTTCTTCATGGTCCAGCTCTCACTTCCATACATCGCTACTGGGAAAACCATAAAGGAGCTGAGCTTAATTTTCTCTATGAAAAGTTAAGTCTCCAAGGAGATGAGAGACTGTTGCTGCCCCACTGAGAGGGAAAGTCCTCTTGAAGAAGAGACTGTCATTTCCTGAACAGCCGCTAGAGGGACACAGAATCCCATATAAATAAAAAGACAGGGTGTTAGGGAGTTGACAGAAAATATCCAATCTCAGTTTTGAAAGTCAGTGGGTGGTCTCCAGCAAATATTCCTATCTCGGCCTAATTTATCTCACAGGGTTGTCGTAGGGATAAAATGGAGTAATTCCAGGCCCACCGTCCGGAGCTCCTTGGAGGAAGTGTGGGATGTGATATATAACACCACCAGAGCCAGCAACAGGCTCAGCTTGTGGGCTGTTGATTTGCAAGGCTGTGTCTTGATGAAGTATATTGCAAGAATGCTTAATGGGTGCTGGTGCTTCTCCATTAATACTGAACACACATTAAGCGCTCAGGAAACCATTTTAACTGCGTTGCCTGAATCAAGAGGCGTTGTCATCACTAAATACCTCCTCAAATGATGGGGCATTTAAATGCATTTCACGAGATGCAATTAGTACCTAATCGGTTCAGTTGTTTTCACAATGTGTGCAGAAATTAATTCGGTATCCCAACAGTTCTGTTTTGGGTTTTTTTGCAATTTGGAGAGGGTTTTTTTTCCTGGGGCGTCTTTGGAGGCCCAAACCCTAATCTTGTCCCATCGCCAACTTTGGTTGCCATCCCAGTCATCTTCAAGGAATGAGGTGGGGAGGAATGTTATCCTTTGTCTCAGGCAGCAAAATGTCTTGGGCCAGCTCTGCAGGCAGCCAACATCCAAAGGGATTTGTGCCTGTGCACGTGTTATAATTAGGATTTTCCATCTCAGGCACCAAAAATGTCTTCAGCCACCGCTCTGTCAGTGTTGCCATTGGCAGGGCACCTCCGGGTGCGCCTGCAGAGCCCTGCCCTGGTGCCCACAGGGTCTTACTGCCCCCATTCCTCCACAGGCACAAATCAGGTTTGAAAGAAGCAAGAATCCTCTCCCCAGCAACAATCTCCAGAAGGATCACCAGACAAAAAAAGTAAATAATTTGTTTACAAAAAATAGCTTGGACAAAAGTTACAACACTCTTTTTTCAAACCTTGGGGCAGCGTGGATCTACTATGAAACTAATAAAGCTTAAGTTTCAGGGCCCATAAGCAACTTGTGATTAATTTTTTTGTGTTGAGAAGACCCAATTTGAGTCACATAACTCTAATTGGTTAATCTTGTGTTGAATATATTTCAAGAATCCCAAAGTTTGAGTCAGTAGCACAGATGTTGTAAAGGTGTGGTGATCTGTCGGGGAACAACCGCCTTGAAGAATCATACAACTGTAGCGTTGGAAGAGATCACGAGGGTTAAGCCAGTCCAACTCCTTGCAATGCAGAGATCTTTTGCCCAACATGGGTTCGAACCCACGACCCAGAGATTAAGTGTCTCATGCTCTACCGACTGAGCTACTCAGAGCTCGTTGCTGGCTGCCAAGGACCTCCCATGTCAGTTCAAGCTTCAGGGCCACAAAAATGTAGGTCCGCCACTGCTTTGGGTTTGGAAGTGTGGGTTTGTGAGTGTGGTTCTCGTGTGCGTAATTGCGCAACAAGCACCGAGCGGTGCCAGCGCGGTTCCGCCGTGTAGCCGGGAAGGTTTCCCAGGCTTGTAGATGCTCCCAGAGTTTCCCTGAAGGCTGGCGACCCCCTTTTCCTCCCGTGCCACGTTTCTGCCCGAAATTCGCCCTGCCTTTCCGGGCGGGCGCCCTGGGCTCTCTCTATTGCGCTTCCCAGACGTGGCGGGACGGGCGCGCCCTGGCTCTTCCTCCTCCTCCTGCTCCCCTAACGGGAAGTGTCTGCTCGGCAAGGCGGGGCCGATCGAGGCTTGAGTCGCCGCTGGCTGGTTGTGGGCAGAGTCCTCTTCTCCCCGCCTCCGACGGCCGCGCCTTTCCTGCGAATCCCGCTACCTGGCCGAGGACGCGGCGGGCTGGAGCGCGCAGACGGGGTACAAGCCCGGCCCCCGAGGGCGGGACGAGCGAGGCAGGGTAGGGCAGGGCAGGGTCGCCTCTAGGCTACCGGATCTCCAGCCGGGCAGATCAGAACCCAGAGATCTGTGGCCGGGCGCTGGTGAGCAGCTGGAAGCGAAGGGGCCCCCTCCCACCTTGAAGCGAAGCCCCGCCATGGGGAGGCACGAGGCGTGGAGACCCCCCGGATGGAGGTGCTCCTGGCACACGGCGTTCCTAGCAGGTGAGGCGGATCGGGACCCTAAAAGAGAGCCACACAGATTTGTTTATTTGGGGGGGGGTCTTAAAGGATTGGGGTGGGAAGGAATGGGGCTTCTCTCTCTGGCCCCGCTTGCCTGCCGCAATAACTATGATTCTGTGTTGAGATCCCTGCATTTGCAGAGGGTTGGACTAGACGACCCTCGTGGTCCCAAAGTTGGAACGGATCCAGAGGGTCATCTAGTCCAAGCCCCTGTGTGGGGCTCAAACCCACAGCCCTGAGATTAAGAGTTTTGTGCTCTACCAACTGAGCTACCCACGGGATGATTGCACGATTCTAGCTCATATGATTACTGTGTTTATTGCATTTATTAGAGCAAGATCCATAGGGTGATCAGATGTTTTGTGACCATTCAATGCATCGTTCTTGATTTTGGCTTCGGTGCCCCTTAGCGCCATAGGTCCACGCTCATGGCAAATTGCGCCTGAATTGCACACCTCTTCCTGAGAATCTCCTAGGCGTCCACTTTTTACAAACTTTTGAATACTTTTGCAGGGTTGAGGCAATTTCGTGGAACAGGAAGCTACCAATGGCTGCTAGGCAGG